CGCGGCGGGAGCGACAGCTTCCGCGTACGCTCTCCTAAACCTCAGCGCCTCAACGCGCTGCTCTGAGCCCCGCAGCTTACGCGGGGCCTTTTAACACTTCCAAACGTGCAGCTGTTGAAAATCATCTGGTTAAAAATTACAGGGAAGTGCCCTCCCCCTTTACTACTGAGTTCAAGTGCGAAGCTGCAAGATGGGAAGTTCAAACACGGTTCATGGTTTAAAAGGTGGAAAGTTTAAACACGGTTGACAGGCACCAAGTAAAATCCGAGAACTCACGTTGAGGTATCTGGCACCGCTTACAGAAAGGTCTCCGATTAAAGCAGCCAAACGATGCCCTCAATTTTTTAACCGAGGTTACAAGTGCTCTTGAACGTCCACTGATAAGCCACAAACCAAGGTGTGTTTATGTTTTTTTATTAATAAATACTTTAACAGCACCAATGATACTTGAACATAACCCCGCAATACTGTGCACAGCGGCTGCCTGGGGACTGTGAGCAGACACGTCCGTATTTTCATGTACAGTTGATCATTCTGTCCTTTTGTGTTTGCTTGTAAACAAAGTAATCTCTTCCATACTTAACACCTTTCATAAAGTTGATCAAATCAATATCAAATAAGAGGAAAATGCTTGTTTTAATCTACTGCCCTCTTTTGGTTTTAGGGTGACTCAGCAAGTGCATAGGAGTGCTACAATTTAAAAACCAGATCGCTGTGGTTCCTTTTAAAGGGTCTTCTCTTTGCATATACGTGTGCGCACGAGTTGAAAACAACTTTTGGCCACCTTAAAATTTCCATGTGTCTGAAAGTATATTAGCATTAACATTTTGACAACAAAAACTGGAAAAAAGTGTATTCCTATACATCAGAGTTCTGTACATTAATAAGCATTTATACAAATATAATCCACCAAATATTGGCTTCTACGTACAATTCTGAAATATGGTGATTCATTTGTATTACCTAACCTTCAACAATGCTAGTACTAACATGAACATTTCAGGTTGCTTTAGCACCCACGGAGTACGTTTGCTTTACAAGGTGGGTACAGATTTCTCTTGCTGTCTATGCAGTTTACTTATGAATAAATTAAGTGGTAAAGTGAAGCTTGAACAGCATAGTCTGTGGTGTAGTAACATCAGCAACTGCAAGTTCCTGGCCATCCACAAGCCCCAGTTCTGAAACAGAAAGAAAAATTTAAGTACAGCAAACCCAGGTGGTTTGTCTCTTTTTAATTTAAAAAAGTTATGAATGCCATTCCCACAAACCATAAATACGATGAAATAAAGCTGCAAACAGCTCACTAGCTAAACTAATATTCATCTAATTCAACCAGAAAACTAACATACCTTGTCAAGAAATATATAAAACACTACTGAAGTATGTTTCATTTACATCAGTTATCACCTTGCTTTGTAGCAATGTTTTTTCTCTTCATCTGCCCACACTTCACATTTAAGCAATTCAAAGCTCATCCTTGAGCAACCTGAGAAAGGTATACTGCACGTAAAAGGATAACAAAGCATATTCTACTGCATAGTGCAAAATAAAGCCGAACATGCCATACGGAGGGGTGAAACTGATTGACACTCTATTTAGAGGAGTATCTTGAAAATCTACATGTGACAACTGCATGATACCTTTTAGTGTCTTGGAAAGATTTGGCCTTGTTCGTTCTTCAATTGATGCTACTGTCTGGGAAAAAAAAAAAAAAAGAAAAAAAAGCCAAAATATTACCTTTCAAATTCAGGAAAGTAAACTTAAATAAATTAAGATTATTAAAGACAATTACAGATGTTCGGATTACCTGTAAATAAAGTGTTTTATTTCCCCCATACATAGTTGCTGTGATTGCAGGAGATTTCATTTGCCTATATATAAAACGTTAAAAAAAAAAAAAGACAGAGTTAAAAATACATTTAGAAACCACCTTTCTGAAACATTAAACTACCAAAATTATCAAGTAAGTCAGAATAGTTGCACACTTACAATGAAGCATTATTTGTCAAGTAATCCAAGATCTCCTGTAACTTAGCTGATGGGGAAATCTCTATGTTTTGGGGAAGTTGGCTGCAGGCTGGACAGTTCTCCTACGACAAAGTAGCACAAGAATGCACGTTATGTTAAATCCGATTTTAAAAATGCTGCTAATAAAGTCTCAAAACTGTTTCTGTGGGTTTTTTTAAAAAGTTTTAGCTCTAGAAATATTAATACTGTTGCAAATACTAATGACAAAACCCAATTCCTCATGAAGTCTGTCAGTTTGACCAGCTCCCAACAGCAGCTAAATATTTATGAACTACAAATTTCATCTGACATAAAATTTAACACTACAAACTTTCAAGCAAATCTTCTCAAAAAGAGAATTAATTTATGAGTCTTCTTAAGATTGCGTATCTTATTTTGTAAACCACGTCTCTTGTATTACAGGGGAAATCTTCAGGATTCACTTTCAAAAAAGTCAAGTACTGTTTTCCTCTGCAGGTAGCATAGCAGAAACAATTGAGATACTAATGTTGCACTAGCAGGCACCACAGAAATAGCTGTCTGAAGAACCTCCCTATACCAGAAGCTACTTTTCCAAATATTAAGAAACTTTGGCTAAACAGGCAACAATGAAATATGCCATTACATATACTATGCAATAAACAAATAGACTGATGGGTAGAAGCAAAGGTTTCATTACCAGCACATCAAATAAAACATGCGTTGATCTGGAGGCAAACAGTCCTGCTACTCTACGTAGACAGACCGCCACTGTCATCACTATTAGACCCAAAACCACAGAAGTTAAAAAAAAAAAAATTCCTACATGCTAAAAACTCTGGAGAAGTAGCAGACTAGTAACATTGTCGTTTCTGCTTTTAAAACTTCAGAAATATTATTATTCAGTGCTAGGGGCCAAGAGATTCAAGACTGGGTTTCAGAAATACACACAAACTGCATAAGTTCAATAAAAATCAAGGAAACAACCCTGCAAGCCTTTAATGGCACTAACCTTCCTTTCCGCTTCAAATGTGTACGTGTATAATCCATCCGCATCATTGAACACCAAGTAGTTGTTAAGAGGAATGTATGCACTATAATGACAAATATGCTAGTGTTAATACATGTTATTATGTTGGAAATCATGTATGTTATTAATAAGAAATGAAATACCTTGTGGCTATTTTAAAAACTTCAGTGGCGCAAACAGCTGGAATGAGAAAAAAAAAAAAAAAAAAAAAAACAATTTCTTCACTTCCTAGCTCTATCTCAGAACATGCAGACGTAAGTGCACAGAGTTGTACCAAAGAAGTAGTGACAAAAAAAAAAATCAAGTATAACAATTTGTAAAGTGAAAAATAAACATCTGAAGGTAGCTGGTAGTTCTATGCATTAACACCACAGATTCGGCACTAATCTAAGACTATGTTAAGCTTATATACCATGGTTTCCAATTATTTTTCTTCCGCAGTCTCAAATGCTTTTGCTCACTCCTACAGTCATACATGAGCTTATAATTTATACAGTAAGACTGTAAGAATAAATTAGACCCATTTAAAAATTACTATTATCCTCCCTGAGTTCTGAATTCCAAACCGTTGCCTTAAAAAACTCTAAAATCTGTAAAGCAGGAGTGAAATGAGTTCTTTTAGCATACCTGCAATTACTGCATTTGTAGAAGCTACTGCTGGAATAATTCGTTTAACCACCCCTGTAAAAACAAAACATACCATTTTGTCTTTTCCAAGAAACTACACTGAGACACGACTTTTAGCCAGAATAATTACAGAAGGGTGTACCCGAAGATACTTTAAACTTTCCAGGAATTTCTATAACAATAAGATATAATGGCATGCTGCTCAAGTACTTTGGCTTTTTTTTATTTTAGGAATGGATCAAGCATGTTGAGAAAAAGAAGGTATCACACAAAGAGAACTAGTGAACAAATTCTAAAACCCAGTATTCTGTATTTAGCACCGAAAATTAATTTAGAACTCAGTTCTATTCCTGTTTAACTGGAAAAATGCATAAAGGAAAGATACTTGGTTTTGGTATTCCTTCTGCAAGAACAGGCTTGCCACAGTGTACTGGCAACTTCATCCAATCTGAGCCCATCCAGTCTAACAGCAGAGTACATACACCAATATAAAGCAAGATTTCCTATGCATACAAGTTTGTACATTGGGAACAAGGAGGTTCACTCTTTTTTCAGGCTTGCCAAAAAGACAGCAAGTTCCTAAGTAGTCTGAAGTTCCTCTGGCTTCTCATTATTGACTTGTATCCCTTCATACCTGAGAACACATGCATAAAACTTTTATCTTTGCCTTCTTTCTGCTATGTACTTTATAATGAAGCCATCTTCAAATGCTGAAAACTGTGCAGCCGTTTGCACGTACATAATTATATTTCATAACTGGAGTTCACATTTATCTGTACCAAGAAAAGTAATACTAGAGAAGCCAGTATAAACCGCTGCAAAGAAAAAGACTATCTGCAATACACCGGGTGGAATCTGAGGAAGATACACAAGGAAACAGTTCACCCTTTTTTTGATAGAAAGGCACACACTGAGGTTCAAGCGTGGCATTTCAAGCCCAGCATTTCAAATGCATTCTCAGCGCTACAAGTCAATAAATAGACAGAAGTTACCACAAATTCTGGAGATTCTGTATGAGATTCTCCACTTCTTTTCTATTTGGTTAGCGTTTAAAACGCTGATTAAATGAGCAGCAGCATTCCGCGCTTGCATGTGAAGAGAGGCATACACAGCAGTGAAGAACAGATGCTATAGTCTTAACCGCCCAAACTGCCATGAAGTGTTGCTGTTGCTAAAAGAGGCAATCACGTTCTTCTGTTCCTACTCTTTGACCGAGCAAAAGTGGTCACAGTGTAACGTAAACTGTGGAGCTGCTCCAGGTTACAAATAAAATGGCAAAAAGAATGTTCAGTTTTGTCCCAGGTAAGTTCCTCTGATTCATCGTGAATGCCTAAACATCTGATACATCATAAAAATATTTCTGCTGGCACAGGAAACAAGCTGCTTGTTTCTCTTTTAAGATGTTAAGGGAGAAAACAACTCTCTCTTTCTCAGCAGAGCTACCAGCTGAGTCATAACAAATACAAAGAATGCCAATCCAGCCTAATTGCAAATGCCACAAACTTACTGAAATGCCATACCCTTACCTTGGGTGAGTCTGTATGTAACACCTTTAATACTAAATTGTGATGCTCTTTCTAAAGACTTCTGGTAAATCCACTGTATATGTTCAGGGTCATCTCCATCCAGTGCAACACCTTCTACAGTGAAGTTAAGAATTTACAGATAACTTACAGTTATAAGAGTTCTTCAGAAATACAGCATTCTCTTTGTCTAAAAAAAAATCCCTTTGTTTTACTTTGCGTTAAAACAAATACCCCATTAAGCTATTAAAACTTGACACTTTAAATAATCAAAATATCATTTCTACAAACATTGTAAGTTCTAACACATTCTATATGCAAACTACCTTAACCTTACAGATTTATAGAGCTGTTACAGGTTACATTCTGAGTCAGGAAAGACATTGGGCAGCATGAGAGAGGGAAACACATGAGCAAATATGGAACTGGAGAGCGAGTCCGAGAAGAGAAAATCCATCACCAGCTCAGAGGAGGCTTAGATTCAATACGACAATGAGCGATATAAGGTTAAAAGGTAGGATTGTTTTATTAAAAGTAGCTGGGTATACCTAACTCAAAACAAATTAGTTGAATGGAGAAATGTCAGTTTAGCACCAGTGCAATAAACTAATTACCTCCAAAAGGTTGCTCCTTTGGCCACTGCAATATCCTGACATACTCAATACAATGCTCTGGTAGTCTGGGCATAGATGCAATAGTACACATAGGAAAATTGACCTGGTGTGGGCAGGGGAAGAAAGCATGTAATACATTATGTACAGTGCTAGGAAAAGAAACAAGCAAATCAGAAGAATACAAAGAAAAGGAAATATCGCTGGTTGCAATTACCTGTGGTGGATAAAGCTCAAGTGTGCACTCAACACATGCTGTCATACCAGGAATAATCACACGAACATTTCCTTTAAAACCTTCTGTCCCTCCATCTATTAAAGGTATGATGGAACTTGGATCCAATACACCATCTTCATAATGTAAAAATGACATCTAATGAATAAAGGTGGGTGGGGGTTGTTAGCTTTTGCTTGCATTTGGTTTGTTTTTAATAAGTTGCAGGAAGAAAAAAAAAAATCCTAAAAATTTTATTCTTAATGGTACACCACAAGATTGAATGCTTAATATACAGTCTATTTTAAGGGTACATAGTGTATAAAACACTACTTATTTGTCAGTGCACAGGACTTCATCTACCTCACCCTCCACCACCTCCTCCTCCCCCAACCCCCCCTGGTAAATGCTATTATTTCCTTATAGTATACCAGAACAAATGGTTGATTGGTTTGAAGGATTTGGAGGTTTGATTCTTGGTTTGTTGTTCTGTTTTGTTTTGTTTTTTTAAATACTGGTAAATACTCAAGCTCACTATATTATGAACAAATTCGCAATGATAAAACTACCTAGTTCAATGACCAGCTTTCTACTACTTTGTAGCAGCAGGGCTCCAAAAGATGACATTTACAAGCTGCAGCACGGTAAAGTACTGTGTGGCTAATGGAAAAAAAAAAAAAAAAAAAAAAACACGTTCACAATGGGAGCATCCAGAGAGGCTGTGGAACTTCCCTTCTTATCATTTTCAAAAGCTGACTGCACAAGGCCACAAACAATGTAACCTAACTTTGAAATTCCCCTGCAGGGCACTGCACAAATGCTGGCTAACACTCCTCAAGAAAAAGGCAGGTAAGAAAGCGTGCATTTTATCCTGTTCACAAAAAGAAAAAAGAAAACAGAAATAGATACAGAAAGCTGTGAGTTTCAATATCCCTCATTTCATTTTAATGACACATTCTACACAAATCTGTTCAACTTTAGTTATCTATACTCAAGCAATAACCAGGCTTTAAAAAGACTGAAGACTTTACCAGCATGCCATTTATCCATCTTCTTGCAATTATAGAGTCCAGCCCACAAACAATAATATGAAACTCTAGGGAGAAGAAAACATTATTTAAAGTCTATAGTAATGCATACTTCTTAAGACAAGCAAAGTATTCTGTCCATAACAGTCCAGAGGAACTGACTATAGTTTAACTACCTCCCCTAGATAACCTATATGACAGATGCACTTAAGTTTTGTCTGTTTGTTACTTCTACTTCCAGTATACTGCAGAAGACTAAAATAATTAGCAATCTAACTACCAGGAAAAGCAGCAAGCAGCAACAACTGCAGTGTTCCCCTAAAGCACCAGTGTGTGTTTGGCAGGCAAACAAATACCACTTACGTCGATAGAAGCTTTCATCCATGTCTTGAATCTTTTTAAAATAGCTGAATGTAAGCCCAGTAAAGGAATATATTTATAAAGTAGTTAAGTTTACTGTTTTCTATTTGCTAACCTAAAGCCAAAACATTATCTAATTTATTACTATAATTTTATATGACACTTTTTTAAAAAACTAAGTGATTGAAAGATTCAAAATTCCCATAGCTGAAACTGTAGCATCTGACAAAACACATAAGGGACACAATGTAATAGTCACACACAGGAGAAAGCTCAGCAGGCAAACTATTTAGGACACTCAAAACATGCTCTCAGAAAGTCCTGTATCAGTAAGTGCTGCTCTAAATTTATAAACTAACATCTCCTACAAGTACATATTCAAAACACTCTGGTGAATAAACCTGTAATTCTAACATCTCAGTGAAAATTAGAACATTGCATTTGAATAAAAAGACTCAGTGGAAATATACAAAATAGTTTCTTAAAGCTTAGCTTGCTTTCCCCATGCATATTTCCTGTATACTAATGCCACTGAGAAAGAATTCTCAATCACCAGCTGAATGAATCTGTTCTTTATTGTATGAAAAAGAGAGGATGGCAGCAGAATACTTTAGATAGTCTTACCACCTACAGAGTTTTCTAGGTCTTTTGAAGCCTTCAGGGCTACTACTTCTCTATAAAAGGATACGCTACGACAGCACAGTTGGGAATGCGGCTATTCAGGAATTCTGCTGCAACTTCTGCTTTTGGTCGCCCAACATCCTTCGGTCTGCGAAAGAAACCAAGCAATTTCAAATGCATTATTTTAGTAGATTCAGTCTTTCCAAACTCTATGCATTGCAATACCGAATTAAGTGACTAATTGTTACTGTAGGACAATTTGTTGATATGGATAATATTAAAGGGTCCCTGTAAAGCATCAGATTTGAGAGCCCCAGACTTATCTAAATATGTCCATGTAACTACAGTTATCAGCACCAAAAAAAAAAAAAATCCAACAATTTTTCATTTTGCTTGGAAGAAAAGGGTACCAGAAAAATTGATATCTCAATCTGTGCGCATTACTCTTTCACGTCACCCTTTCCATTAGTCATTAGCTGTATTTGAATGGTAAGGTACATACGTTAATTTTCTTCATGCTGAAACTATGACACCACGGATCTCAAAACAAGAAGGAATCACACACAACATTTAGTTAATTATGAGTACTATTATGATATGAAAGTTCAGTAATCTTTAATGACATTTTGTTCAACCAAAATAATGATCATATTCACATATTTTGTTCAGGTACATTTTAAAAAACTAAAGTCAAATCGTGAAAATACCACTTACCGAAACAGAAACTGTCGGTTAAGATTAGAAACATCTATAGTATCCATGTCAATAACATGGATCTGCCTAAAGCCGGACAGTGCCTGTGAAAAGAGATAGTCAACATCATTTAATAGGAAAGGAAATGCTTACAGTGCTCCAGAATTCCTTCCACATGCCACAAAAGCAACCTTTGGAGGAAGAAACATATTTGCTCTTCATTCCCTCTGCCGACAGGTATATGGTCGTTCTTTGTTAAAAGAACGTTCTTTGTTGGGTTGCTAATGCTGATATTTAGACAGATGGAATTAGTAACATTTCAATGGTCAAAGACAACGTTCTACTGAACACAGCGTTGCTTTAGCCTACCTAATCATAACACAGGGAAGTCAATGGTAGGCTGATCTATAAGGGGAATTTGCAGGATTCCATCACAACTGAAGTAAATCAAAAGCGTCCATTGGGGAAAAAAATGCAGAATTTGAAGAAATGCCATAAGCACTTCCTTGCTTGTCAGGAATAGAAAAACAAAGCTTAATTCCTCTAAAATTTTAAGTTTTTGAACATGCACCATTTTCACAGTTGGCACAAATGAGTCTGGCATATCCACTCTCAAATCACAGTTCAAAATGAGCCAGCATTCCTCACTGCACTCAATGCTAGAACAGAACACTATGCTGGAAAGTCACCTCGCTATCTAAGAACACACCGAACCTCTGACAAAAGTTCTGCCTCATCTCTGTTTGCATGCAGGCCATCACTAGATTTGGCAAATAACTTTAAAGTAAAATTGTCTTAAAACTGTATCGTGGGTCTGATCTGATAAAGTAATAACATCTGTCACACAAAAAAACCTATGTGAATTGTGGGTAAAGGGAAATAAACGCTGTAAAACACTGGTTTTGGAGAAAGGAAGTGTGTTGTGATGTTCTGAAGTGACCCCCAAAAAATTTGAGTCCTGTCCTCTACCTTTTTTCCTTTAAGACTCAATCTTGTTATATATAAAAACTTCCAAACTTTTCATTTTACATTTTCTGAATAGACAGAGCCATCCCATGCATAATAAGTACTGAAAACGGTGTATTGGGAAACTGATTAAATAAATGAACAACAGGAATGAAGTCTTTCAGAATAGAAATTAATTTCTGTAAGAGAAGCAGCACAAATTTCTGTATGTCGTATCGGATACTCTTGGTGCTGAACAATCATTTTGTTTCACTGATAAATGTTCAGCTTTTTTTCAATATTATCAAAGCAGTCTGGAAGCACCTGCTAAAGAGAAGAGCAAGCTTGGGACATCACAAACAAACAGATTGGAGTCTTTATCAAATTTATATTCATTGTCCCAAAGACATGAATACATGTGAACAGACTCTAGGTTTACTTATGAACTTATCTTTCTGAAAATGATAAAAATAAATCATGATAATTTAAAACCTTTTTGAAGAGACGGGTACTGACTGCACACAGCAGACTTATGAAGTCCCTTATCCCACACAAATCCTCCCTCTCAATGAGCTATCAACAGATTGAATTTTTTATGTCCCAATAAACCCATAAAACAGTAGCTCTGGGCAGAGGTTAAATTCACCAGCACTAAATTGCCAAAGAAAGAAAACTGCCTTGGAGCTGTCATAGTCTCTTCAAGTAAAATCCTGCTTAAGCATTGCAGTAACAAACCAGCAACCAGAACAAGAGTATACACAAGTGCTAGAACTATAAAACCCCTAAGTTAATGGGATCTGGAATGCCTGGCTTTAAATGAGGCTATTGATTTATCAAGCATCTCAAGCGTGGAGGTAGTCTGTGGAAATACTGAAATAGCAGTACATAAACTCTACAGTAAAGTACACTAATGCATAAGTGTTGGTATAAATTAAGGAAAAAAGTTATTTCATAGTAAGTTATTATATCAATCTACACATTTTCCATGGAATCCGTAAGGACAGAAATTCTTATTATTAACTAGAAGCATGGAAAAGTACGGTATGAGTCTAAATTACCAAACTCAAACAGGGTGGTAAGAGTGATACGCTATGATAAATATGAGCATCTGTGAGGACAAAAAACACATTAATAGGATAATTAAATTCATACACATTTATTAGGTAAATGTCTGACAGCACACGATCCTGTGACTGCATTTTAAACACTTAAAATTTGCTTTTCAGAACACGTAGTGAGAGAATCCATTAAACTAACACCGTATCAAGAAAACTACAGAATACCTTCTGGTAATCTGTACGCCAGGGAAGTACTGTCATATTGGTTCTCTGTTCTTATACCATTACCTATTCCTCCTTAGCCATTTCCATACAGAATAGCGCATGCTGGTCTGACTCACTAAAGCTGCCATTACATAGGCTGAATTCAGCAACAGAGGTGCAACTCTGAGGGGGTGTTCAGGCTCTGCAGACAACCTCCAATTTACTGATCTTGAGGAACTGGAAAACCTGAGAGCCACCACTCAGGAAGGCCAAACAGATTCCACGGACATGAAGGTCATCATAGACACAGTAAGTCTGGCTCTACTAATTTCACTATGAAAGAATGTAAATAATTCCAGCAATTCTACCCTCACTTTGAATTAATCCAAAGATGCAAAATAAACTGAAATTAAATTCAGCTTTGACCATTAATACTAAACTTTGTACTAGCTACTTATGACAGTTTCAAGTATCGCTTTTCATCTGAAAAGACACATTTCAGCCATTGTATTCCAAACAACACTTCCTGGTATCATTATGGGCATGATTTGTTCTTAGTTTACTTCATCTCCCTTGATGTGGTAATTAGGGAAAATTACCAACATTAGACCATATCTAAGGCTGCAGGTGAACTTTTGTCTACACTTTATAAACAGCACCATGTTGTCCCTCATGACAAGCTTTGAGATAGCTAAATAAATAACATGCAACATAGAACCCCACCTTTCAAGCTTATTAACAAAGTGCTTTCTTCAAGTTTATTGTCTGTATTGTCACGTATTTTATACATTTTGATTAGAACTTAGAAATTTAGTAGCTATATACAATCAAAAATGCCAAATTAGCAAAGCAGAAAAGATAATTTCCTCAAGGAAAAAAAGAAGATTCTAAGAAGCAATGGGTGAAAACTTAGTAATTACCAGGTTTTTCAGGAGTTCGCATCCTAATCCTCCTGCTCCAATAACTAGTACTTTACATGTGCTTAACAAAAACTCAAGGGCCTGCGGAAAATATAAAACAAAAAATTAATACACTAAATAGGAAAAATAATAATTTGTCCTTTGCTTCATAATCCTTAAAAATGCGTTATCATAAATTTTCAGTGCCTAATAAGTTTCACACAAAACAACTCAGATCAATAAAACAGTTTATGCTTGCAGGAGTAATTACATACTGGACTTTAATCAGTTGGTGAGTTCATGCAGTTCCTATATCCCAACTCACAGAAAAGCAAGACCTTTGTTGATATCAGTATTCTCTTTATGTTAATTTTGACTATGAAAAAAAGCAAGGTCCACCTTTGTTGTTATTTGCTTTAAGGAGATAATGTTTTCTTCCTCCAAAAATTTTACTGCTACATAATAGAAAATAAATCTAAACAGACAGAAAACATTGCTGACCAAAAATAACTGAATTTTTTAACTATATAACTGCTTTCTACTAGACCTCAGCCTCAAACTAGTAAATAATGGAACAATACATTAAAAAGATAACACTAAAATACATTCTACTGTAAGCTCTGAAACAAAATGTATCAAAAAAGGAAAACAGAGGAAATAATTAAAAGTCTAAATTTTGCTTTTCCCTACTAAACATCTTTCCCAATTCTCTAAGTACTCATATTAACCTTAATTCCTTCTATAAGTACAAGAAATTCCTTACTGTATCTAATTATTTAAAAACAGAGAGACAAATGCCGCTATTTTTCACGTGGAACTCAAAGACAGAGCATAATTCATGTGTTGTTATACATTTTTATATATGATGACAGCAAGCTTGTAGCTGACAGTGTACAATTTAGAAATACAAGCTTATAAAAAGAATACACCGTGTTCTTCTAGCAACATAATGTTCAACTGATTAAAATATAAGCTTTTCATGCAGTTTTAGTATTCATACACTGCCGGAAGTCAACTAATGAAACTGTTTACATTGGTTTGCAACACACGCTACAGATTTTTTATTTAAAGTAAGTGTTTCTCACTTGAGTGCCTGGCTCGAAATCGGGATGTGTGAATGGTCCAGATCGCTCGAGGAACTTCTTTACATGGTTCCAGCGACCTTCCCAGTCTCCAGTGTCCCCACACCCACCATCAACAGCCATTCTGCACAGAACACAGTAAATTCAGCTGCAAAATCATAGAGAAAAAGCCACACCTCTAAAATGTATTTTTACTTTATATATCTTAAAATCATTGACCATTCATACAAATGCATTTGCATATTCTTTATGCATGTAAGTTATGTGCATGAACATTTGCACGAGTGGGTTTTATTTGTGGAACTAGAAAGCGATAATATAAATACGCATAGATGGGAAAAAACCCAGGCATTTCAATAAATCCCACTGATTTAGCTGTTACTAGTAAAAGTTGACCTGAAGTGAAAAAAGGGTCTAGTCTTTTTGCTTTTATTTCCCTCATATTTAAAGAGGACACAGAAAAAGAGGTTGTCCCTTTAGATTTTGAGGGTGACGTTTTTTTCATCAGAGTCAAGTCTGGCATCCTTTTTTTGACAGACTTTTTAAGCTCATAAATCATATCTAAAATTATCAGCACGTAACTGCAACTGTGAGGCACTGAATAAATAACAGTAGCATGCCCCAACATTGTCTCCTCTGAATCGACATAGTAGTTTAATTAAACAAGTGTTAAAAAATACAAATCTGGAATGCTCTTCACCCTCAATTGGTGCTATTTAATTTAGAACACCCCCATTTTTCAGTCATGTCCTGAGCCTGTCAGTGGTAGCAACATGACTTGAAAAAAGGAATGTTTGCAGTTATTTTCTTTTAAATTTTTGAAACTGAATTTTACATCAAGTACTCCAGTACCCTTTTTTCCCCTTCTGGAGGTCACTTTTAATAGTACATAACTATAAATCTAAACTCTTAAGAGAGTTACTGGAATGGTTCAAAATCAGCTCACTGAAGTAATTTTGTAACATAAGATCACTGCCTACACAGAACAAGCCCTTCCCTAACACAGTGCACTTCCCTTTTTAAACAGGAGCTCCACTCAATATATGTGAACGATTACGTTCTACCTTAACACAAAACTAAGCTTCTAATAAGAGAGCTTTGCCAATCCTGAGTATGAAAGATTCTGTCATCATTGATAAGGAGTATTATTTGCTTCCTCCTATGAAGTAATATGAAGAACGCTCGTATCAGTAACTGTTGTTGGGTAATGTTTAGAATTTGTTATTACTTCCTGGTGACTCCTCTCAAAATAAAAGGAAAATGTAGTGAAAACATCTAGACAGCGAATGCCTTTATCTTCACAGAATTCAGAAGATGGACAACACAGTATGTCCATAGTCATTTTAACTTATAAGCAATAATTTTGCAAAAGATTTTCAATAACAGGGAAAAACTTTACTATAGTGCAGGAATAAATACATCATAATTTGGCTATATTTTGATTGCAGACTGAACTCATTCCTGTTTAACTGTTGACTTTAGGTAAGTTAACTTACTGTATTAGCAGTTAAATAAGATCTAAAAAAATTACTTGAATTCCTACAGGTCTTCCGATCTCTGACTTGCACTTCTGTACCTCCCCTAGTTTTCACCATAATGTGAAAATACACATATTTCACACAATGTGAAATAGTGTAAATAAATACAACACTCCCACCGCTGAACCCTGGGCTCATCTGTTGTATACCAGTTTTCAGGATGTGCATTAAGCACTGACTTAAGCAAATAAAATGGGTCAATATACATTACAATAATTGCTTCTATGGGTTATATTATAATTTTTAACTTTTCTGGAAACAAATGCAGAAGCTATGCTTGGTGACATTAAGAACAACGGTTTTTATCCTTTTATATGGTCCATATAAACAGCCATTAAGCAGCAGTACTCCTTTTCTGTTTAGATGTGCATTTTCCTTTATAAGCAATAAAATGGAAAGATCTAGTTTCACTTTTGCGATTATACTACAGTTTGGTTTTTAGAGGGTTGGACATTGTGGAGATCTGAAAAACATCAATAACTCAACCGGAGAGTTTATGTTTAACTTCAGAGACATTTTTTAAGTGGGTTTTTTTTGTGTTGTCACAGCATTACTAGGTATCTGCATTATTAGAGTTTAACAAAATCCTTATTTGTTTCATCGAATTACTCCAATTTTAAATCTTTTTTAAAATATCAGAGCACCACAGTCCTTATGTTGCTTTAGGCCCGGACTTTTCCCTACCACTTTCACACCTCCAGAGCTCCATGCTTTTGAGGGACTTGGCATGCACCCCCCCCATCCAACATGCCCAAGGATTTTTGTGACCCTCACCCCAACACACACATGCACTGCCTGCAAGTCCACCGCTCGGGCAGGCAGGTCTGCTCTGTGATCTTTGGGAAGAGGAACACAAGCAGATGGAAGGGAATAGTTAGGGGATGGAAGCAGATGAGGTTCAAGACTTCTGAGCATTAGTTTTCAAGGCCGTTAAGACAGATGCATAGAATTTAGGGTTTTAATAAGCAGAGGCAACTGTTCTGTAGCCTGAATTTTTAATTTTCAGCCAAAATTTAGTCACCTGCTTCTAGCCTAGTGGCCCTCCCCAGGTCCCTGACCGGCAATGCAGCTTTTCCACCCCTGTCACAAAGCTCTCCAGCACACCAGCCTTTACTCATGCCAAGCTCCAAGCCCGCAACTCCCATCCCCACGCCGGGTGAGCCCCTTGGTCCTCTCCCCAGGAGATGCCTCTTCCCCAGTCCTTGCTGTTCAAGCGCCCTTTCGCCTTCCCCCTCCTCACACTGACCCACCTAACACCTTTCCTCCGGCTCCCTCCTCCCGCCCCGGCCCTGGGCTGCGCCCTCCCCCCGCTCTCGGCCCGCCGGGCCCCGGGCCGCTCACGCACGGTCGCCCCTACCAGCGCCTCTCCAGCGGGCCCCGCAGCCCTCAGCTAACCCGCAGCCTCCTCCCAGCCCACACCTCTCCTGCGGGGCTGCGGCTCCCCCTGACCTACCA